TTGGGTTTTTAATTGTAATAGGAACCAAGACATTTTTTTAAAACACATTGCCACTATTTTCAATTAATTGCCATTTTGCCCTGGGCTTCACAAATCTGTTTTGGAGTAGTTTAGTTTTACGGCTTGAAGTCATCCTCGCATGAAAACATTTAACAGAGCGCATTAAACACCATCTATGGAAGTATTGAACAAATGCCGTTAAAATGTGAAAAAAGCTATATGAGAGACGTTTCTTCTGACACTAAACTCAAGTAATTACCCTGGAACGCACACATTGACACTGACAACGGGTTTTCACGTTTTTTTCTCAACTTTTCTCAATTGGTTATCGCCGTGGAGTATTTTGACTCCAAATGCCAGCTCATTAGTAAAATTGTATCTGATGCTTGGCTTCGCTGGTTCCCGTCTCAAGTGTCATGGCACAACAAGCCACAAGAGGCCGGGCCGGTAATCAGTAATAGTTCCGGGATTCTGATTGGTCCGCCAAGTTTTCAGTCTTTGTTCTTTTTCCCTTAGTTACCTGACGTCAGCGCTGCAAAATATTATCTTCTATATATCATATTTATCAGTCCGAGCAGAGTTTATTAATTCATAAACTACAATATATATAGAATATGGGGTTCCTTTTACTTTCAAATATTACACGAATATAAAAACTTTACTTTTGTTATCACTTCGCACAAAAATAGTGAAACAAGCTAGAATCGCCTCAATTATTAGTATAAGCAGGCGGAATGAGGGGACGTGGTGTTATTGCAGTATTACGGACACGTTTGCGTACGAAATGGAACTTTGAATATTTTCAAATTACGTCACTTGGTCGCCTGAATCCAGGGCCGAAATCCCAATATCCTTCCCATAGGTCTTTGCGCTTTACGCAATGATAACGCGCATCGAACTGTGCGGAGTTTGGTTACCTGCGCCGTCCTCATTCTCCTTCCCTGATTTCCTTGCGGTTAGATCACCGAAAGTATCATCCTACGTAACAAGGGTCACGCGCCATCCTCCGGTGACTGATGGTAGAGAATGCGAAAGTATCTCTGCCACCACATACCGTCGTTTTGTGGTGAAACACCACAAGACTTTTACTACCCGTATTATTTGCGTATTTTTGTTATTAGAGGGCTCTCGTGTTGGTTTGTTCCTACTGATAAAAAAGTTTTAAAATATTTCATCAATAGTTGATGATGATTTTTTTGCAAACGCACTGAAAACAGTGAAATAGTTATAATTTACAAAAGAAAATAATTTCATTGTGAAATAACCGTTACGAAGGTTTAGTTTAGTTTAGTTTAGTTTAGTTTAGTTTAGTTTAGTTTAGTTTAGTTTAGTTTAGTTTAGTTTAGTTTCATAAAAATATAAAAATAGATATCAAACAAAACTAAAAAGAAGTGACAGACTTATTTGCTGTAAAAAATAACCAAAAATACTCTTTCTAAACCCCGATACACTGTCAAATACGTCTATCCGATGCGGTAGTTGACTTCATTCCATAATCTTAAAACGCTAGAATGCATGTCAATACTTAACATTGTACATGACTTTCTAATTCTAAAGCACTGAACAAACTTTTGAATCACAAACAAAGAATTGGTATTTTTATGACACGTACATAAAAATGAATTAATCAATCTTAATTAATCTTAGTATAAATTTCAGTACATTGGAAATATTGGAAGTAGCATGGTACAGTAGCAATCATAATTTTAAAATTGTTTATCCTTATATTAGATTATGAGTCCTTTCAAAAAATGTTTTGGTCATTTTTTCACAAGTAAGGCTGTGACAGGTTTATACAATTTGTCAATAGAGGGCGCCGTGCACTGACGGAATAATTGAAAACAAAGATCGTCTTGCGTTTTGTTTTCGGTGATGCGCACAATGGCCAGAACCATTATTATTTAGACCTTATATCCTGGTGAAAATTACTTTTCTTATGTATGCTGGTGTAGATAATATTACTTTGCAATGGTAAACAGAAAAATCAGGATAAACTCACAATGGAGATGTCATTTACTTCCTTAGATAGGTATGTGGATGTATTAAAATTGTCTTCATAAGACTATTAAACGGAGAGGTAAATACACGATACAGGATTTACCAAGATTTTTTCAAAAGATGTCATGAATGAGCAGTCCCCCTCCGTCGGTACCACTAAATAGTCTGGCCCACGGACTACTAGTATATGACAAATATAGCTGCCTCATAGCCTGGTTATACCTGTATATTGGTGATTGTCGAAAGCGAATTAGAATAATAAACATTATTATACATCTGTCACCGTAACGCCATAAGTTACAGCGTGAAATAATTTTGCGGTATTTTACAGAGTATTTTTTATCCTACCATATAAGGAAATGCGAATTCCAAATATGGGATGATTACGCGTGTAAGCGTCCTCTAATAATAAAAACAAACATGGCTGCCACCAGTGTTTGACCGGACTACACACAAAGAAGTTAACTGATTCTGTTCTAAACATTTTGGACTTCGGCATTCCCATGATGTATACTTAGAAGGGAAAGATGTATAATAATAAGATTATTACGTGAGTACCTCAAAGCATGCACTCAGACAGTACACCGTCGCATCGACCTCCGCTGCGCGTCGGACGATACTGCCGCTGTACTATCTTCGTGCATACTTTGAAGCATCCTCGTAATTAACCTCATATTATCACCGGGTATATCTCTCTCATACGTGCGGGCAGACTTGGGAATGATGTTACATTAAGTCAATACCTTTCTTTGCATGAACAAAAGTAATCTTAAAGTTCCGTAATGATTGCGCATAATCTGCTACGAACAGTGCAAGCCACCTCCTCTTGTTGTATTCAATACCTTAATATAATATTTAATGTTTACCGCCAATTATTTTCAATTTGGGCCAGGAAGATACATTCTGAAATTACAAATAGATTCAAATTAAAAAGGATGAACATTTCCATCAACATTTTACATGGGAAAGAGCAGACTATTTTGTGAATGGCGCCAAAAATTGACAATGGTGGCCAAAATATTAAGATATTAACAAGGGGAAGATGTAATAGTTTAATTCTGATAGACATGTTTTTGACTTGTTCACTGTTACTTTACAAGATAATATTCTTTATTTAAATTCGGGTCTTGGAATTCTTGACTCCTAGTTATGGAGATATAGTTCGTCAAACTGATTTTGTGACCATAAATTAGAAGCCCATAAAATCGTATGTGAAAAGCCATTTCTTAGCTTGGTGAAATTTCACTTTTGTTAACGTAAAGAAAATTTTGAATGATGGCTTTGGATAAAAATCAAATACATTTCATAGCGACCATACATATACATATGCATATACAATTACCTGATTCACAAAACTGAGCAGTGAATGCTAACTTGAACAGGGTGACTGACATTCAACTAATTTATCTTAATATTTTGTTGTGGTAATGGCTTCAATACGTATGCAAATTGACTAATAGTCGATAGTCAGCCTGGTTATGGAAATGTACTACTACGCAAACGCACGTACTAATGTGTATATAATTAGCGGAGTCGGACTACCATTGACCAATCAAACTGCAAATATTTCCTGCTCCAAAAATGTCGTAGTGTTGGTGGGCTATCCTGTGGATACAGTGCCCTATTATGTTATAAAACAGGGCGCCGCCATTGGCAAATTTACGTGTCATCAATATCATCATACTATACTATACTAGTAGTACGAGTCAGAAAGAAGAAAAAACTTATACCGCGTGGTGACCTGGGGTCTAGCGTAATACGTCACCGGTTAATTATCGCTATAACCGATACACACGTAACTACACTGTTATATAGTTCATACAGTCGCGTGTTTGGTCAAGTTTGTTACGCGGTAACCGAGCTTTCGCCGTTTATACAATCACATAATATTTTATTTTATTGAAAAAGGCACACCAAAAAACAAATGAGAACCAAATATTCGACGTAGAGGGGAGTACATGCCCTGGTAAGAAATCCAATAACGGTGTGAAACCTGTATTTTCAGCTAAATCTTATAAAATGCAAAATGCAGTCATCATTTTTCACTCAAGCCCGTAGAAACAGCCTTTGGAAGATATATATGGACCTCTTTTCAGACAAAATTAATGAAAAAAGTATACCCCTTTTCAAACAGAAGTTGTAAATTTAGGACCCCTTTCGGCGGAACATATACATATAGCACTTCAATGTGAGTACCCCCTGCCCGAGCTCGTTCTACCATGGTTCTACCTTGACACTATCATTTCCACACAAAAAAAAACGATTTCGATCACGACAACTTCCTCTCATCCTAATAAACTGATTGTAAACTGATACCGTTTCACTAGTAAAAGGATGTTTGTATACGTGGGTTTTTAATTTCCCCGTACACATGATTCATGGTGACTCGTCTGACTCGACAGTCACTTGTAATCCCAAAAGCTCCCTAGATTAATGATTTAAATTTTTCTTGAGTGTTCCAGGTATGAAGGTGCCATGACCTATTGTGTTAGCCTTCACTCAATAATTACTAGGGTCCTCATTCAGATACATGAACACGATTTAATACCAAAACCGTGATCTAAAACAATCGACCAATGTCTGGACCGAAAACCAATGGACGTGTCGGCAATCAACAATGCACAAGCGGGTCAAGGACGAGTCATAGAGCACCAGTCATAATCAAAACAAAACAGCTGATGTGTCCTCCAGTAGCTATGTTATATGCACAGTGATTCAAAATGCTGACAGAGCTGCTACGTCATCAAAACATCCAGGTGCCTTTGCAATGCCCTATTGAAATTCATCCGCAGGGCCAGCGAATGTAAACTGTTTAACACATATTTTCCAACAGACAATTGCAACCTTTTTCCCATTAAATCGTCAGATTCAACACATTTTTTAATTGTTAAATTTTTCGTGATATAATTACACATATTAAGTGGGTTTTTGATAACAACTACATTACAGCAGCGGAGTGATACTATAGCGTGCAACAGTAAATATGGGCGGAGTCAGAGTGGGGAAAAACCAGTATCGTAAACAGTGTGTACGTCATTCGTCAGCCAGTTAGTTGAGTAATTCGAGGCGGAAAATATTGCAGAAATTTGTCTTCTCATCCAGAAAATACCTACCAAGAACTCTAGAAACTTGTGTGTTACAATAGGCACATTATAAATTTAACACTGGGCTCAACAGGAATCGATAGCAGTATTTTTACATCTCTGACGGTTGTTTTTTCAGGTCAGTTGTTTTTGTTCGCCGCCATGTTGTATTTTTCCTCCAAGTCGAGTCGTGTTTTGCTTCATTGTTTACGCCATATATTCTATTGCACGTCCGCGACAGAGTAACCCTGTCCCCGTACTCCACGACCATTGTTTCGTCTTAAAAAAACTAAATAATGTGTAATGTTCACTCATTTAGTTTATTTACTGCGCAACAGTCTGTCTGTCGCCCTGGCAAGCTCTGTGCACACAAAGAAACCCTACAAAAATATCGTAGATTACGTCATGTTTATATGGGAGAGTTTTTGTTTCGACTTGTGAGCATGTTTCGCCACAGTTCTCTGAAAACTGGAGGTGTTTTTCCTTGTTCAATAACTCGTGAAGACGTTACAGGTCGCCTTCTAGTATTCAACACGTCTAGCATTGTCGCGGGTGAAAATTGACACAGTGCACGTTTAATACACAAGGGCGTTAATAAACAAAGCATCAAGGACGTTCAGCTCTCCTTTCCTAGGCGAACTTGGTCAGATTCAAACATTGACTGGTTAAAAATACGATTAAACTTTCCCATGTCTAGTCTACACGCAGTTTTGATTAATATCAACTTTATAAATCTATAGTTCACTGTGTACCTGAAAAATGATTTTAGTGGCCCTTCATCAAGTTCTTGACTTGAATCACGTGCGTTTCAAAAATACAAGGTTGTGTTCATCAAGACTCTAGCTGTAGTTAACTCGGTCAATTAATGTATTTTTGTAGACATCTCATTGTTATGCCTCGGACGCCCATTGTTGACCTGCCTTTCTATGTTATTTGTGCATTCAACAAGATGTCACAGGTGTTCTGTGGATAGATTTTAGACTCCTAGCCCTAGCGTAGCAAATGCCTTCTCGTGTTTCAAGCTTTTTTTCCATTTGGATGTTATTATTTGTGCATAAATCCCCACTGCCACATCTGTTGTCTGAATGTCTAACTATAATATGCAAATCATAACAATTCTGTTCTGTTGTGAGGAGACAAGCAGTGAAAATCTATGAATGCTTTTTGGATCATTCTAATAAATTTTTTTTCATATACTGTGGAATACTTTATTTTCGCTGGAATTAATTTTCGCTGAAAAGGCTTTTGGGGCATTTTGTATGGAATTTATTTTCACTGATTTTTTGATGAGTTTAATATAGGAAAAAACGTATATTCGCTGGATTTTATTTTCACAGAATCATCCTTTCAGCGAAAATAGCGAAAATAAAATATTCTACAGTACTATCAGAATACGACTTGCCTTTTACAAGGTTACCAAGTAAATCACTTGTTGGTTGTTTACAACAAACTTTATTCTAAACTTGTTCTAAATATTAAATGGCAGTATTGCAATATTGACAAAAATGCATAAAACGTTGAACAAAACAACAAATTTATGTTGCCCATAACTCAATGTTCAGTTGACTGTTAATTAAAATTGGTGTTACTAAATGTGGAGGATAAACAACATTTGCAATTTATGTTGCCCGTAACTCGAAGTTTGGTTATATTTTAATCGAACATTGAGTTATAATTTAGACATGGTTTTGCCAAAGTTGGCATGGTTTGTAAAATATAGGCGGGTCATTTTTGTAACTGTTTTTGTAACTTTGTAATTCGAACAATTTAGCATCTCCTTCCAAATAACTACATGTATACACAATGTAACTATGTACAATTGAAATGGGCTGGCACTGGTGGGGCAGAGTTAAAGTGAGGAGGTCCTAAGGAAGTCTTACTGAATTTCTTTGTATTTTATCTTTCTAGGTATTTTTTGTTTTCATTGGTGACATTTACAGACTAACTATGAAGGGTCCAATAGAAGTAGTGAACAGTCAGTCAATGAGTGATATAAACATGAACAACAATTCAAACATTACAAGTACTCTGAGTATGATGACAATGAATCCATTCGAGGAATACTTGTGGATGGCGGAAGTAGAGGAATTCGACAAGAAGGTATACTATTGTTCGATATCTCCACATTAATCGCACATGTAGTTGCCAGTCCTCACTCCCACCCCCTATATAGCAACTGTTAGGCAAGTTATTCTATTGTTCTCATTTGGAGTTTAGTTTATACATTTTTTTTCTGATCTGTCAACTTTACCCAATTTTGTGAGTCAATAAGGTGTGAAAGATATCGGCCAAATTAAAACTCAGTGAATTTGCTCAAAGCATCAAAAAGTGAAATTAAATGCATGTGAAAATAAATGGTTTTTCAGTATTTGGTTAGTACAGTCCTTTTAGGGACGATGTCAAAAGATCGATGTCGGATAAAAAACTTAATTCCTTTAGTTTTTTCCAACCCCCACCCACCCCCACTGAAACTTAATTGATAAATATTGGTCATGGCGTCAAGACTACATTCACCATTAAATACAAATTGATAATTAGACAGTAGTATTGCATAGCAGTTGGTTGTCGGGTGGGTGTAAAGACTTTACAAATGCACCTCATTTGACGCACATATTTACACTTGAACCAAACCATTTTCTCGTCTTGGATGCATTTTTTTCCTTTTCGGTTATTTCTGTCCATAATTGGATAGAAAAAAAACGAACTACAAATAAAATAGTTTTTGTAGGATGGAAACCTTTTAAGGTCAAAACGGACGACCCACGCCCAAACTAAAGCAAATAAGTTTTTTATTCGACATCGATCTTTTGACGTTGTCCCTTAGTTCAATGATTGTATGCTGACTCTCTAGTCTATCGCACTCCTTCAAACCAAAGTCCAAGACCCTTGATATCTTTGAACTCCCATTTTAGGAGTGATGGCCAATTTTGCCTTTAGTGAAAGCGTTGCTTATTTAGTGCTACAAGATGATTGCCAGTTTTTTCCTGTTTTACAAAACAATTTCAACTTGCTTAAATTGCTACAAGTTTATAAATAAGACTATGTATGTAGATTTCTTCTTGCTCTAGTGCCTGTTGATAAGAATTGAGGAAAATTATGGAAGAAACTCATTAGAAAGCTAGTCTTTGAGCATCTAAGACAAAATTATCTAAAGTGTTAATAAGGCAGCTGTGTGTTTAAGTCGAGGACCTCTATGGCATTGCTTATTTTGTTGGGTACTTAATTAAAGGTTCTGGAAGAACTGCAAGAAGAGGAGTTCATGGAAGCCTGCATGGAAGAAATGTTACTAGAAGAAGAGGCGGATTGGTATTATCCAGAAGGTGAAAATGGCAATATAGAGTGCTTTAGTTTGATGGAAAATATTTCTGGTCTCTCAGTGATGGAAAAGCATGTGAGTATTTTTACTTAAATTGGAATAAGTCTGTATTTGCTGTATGATAGAACTGATCAACTCTCAGATTTGTTCTTCCACCTTCTTCCATTTAAGAGTACCCAACCCACGCTTAATTGGCCTTTGTTTAAAAAAAAAAGCAAACATCTTTCTATTTTATTGTTTCTGAAAACTTGTAATTAGCCAGATGTAATTTTCCCTAGTTAACTAACTTCAATAAATTTCAATCTTGAGTATATTGACTGTTTGCAATTTAAATTCATGCATTTGCCAGTTGCATATAGATTTTCCATAATTTTATGTAGATTTAATTTAGATTTCATGTACCAGTGGAAATAGTAAAATTAAAATCCATTGCATATATTACGGTGTACTGGTTTTTAAAACTGACGGGTGAATCACACAAAGGTCAATATCGGTTTTCTGCAGCTAACTTGTAATTGCGTATACTGTGTATAAGGGGAAACTCATTGAACAAATTTCCCTCTTGTTGTATACGGTTTCATTTGATCATTTCAAACCATACCACATATTTTAACTCGGATGCATTGTACTAACATAAATTGCTTTTTTTCTTTCTTTGTAGGATGAAGAAACACCAGATAGTTAATATGCATTTAAATGCTCGTTGGGCTTCTATAACTTAAGTGTACATATCACTAAGAGTACAAAGAAGTAATAATATTAAATGAACTGTCTGGTCCAGGATAGCGATTGCCAAGAAGATGCATGGTCTATACAAGACCTAAGGTGTTGTAAACATCAAAACTGATAGGTTAACAAAAAAAAAAAAACTGCCAGCTTTCAGAGGTGCAAATACTGTTTATATAGCTTTAGATATTTCTCATTTTGTGGCTTATTTTCATTGTACTCGAGAGAAAACTATAAAAAAAAGTTATTTATCTTTAAAAAAGATTTAAATCCTGAAAATATTGAAAAAATGTAATTTTATATATAATAGCATATATGGTTGTTTATGTGATCCTGCGAGGGTCATTTTTTATTTTTCTACCTTTTTTGTTTTAAGTGGCAGCCACACAGATGGTTTTAAGGCTTGTCCATTTTTTTTTTTCATTTTTTGTAGTGCAAGCAAGTTCACTTACAGGCGGAATATGCAGATGTCTTCCAAAACCTGTTTGCATAGCTTGCATAATATTTTTGTTTTTCTTGATGCACTCAATTTTTAATGTTACTAAAAGTTTATGCCAAAGGCAAGGCAAGACTAACTTGTATATACTGATGCAAATTTGAGACTTTGTAGCAATGGTAATTTTGCCAAACTTGTTAAAGTGGATGCTTTATGCACCATTATCAATCTCTATAGTCTATACATGACTTTTCACTAATTTAAATGTTACAATTTAGTTTCTCTGAATTGTGCAAGTATGGCCTATAATATATTCATTCTTCCATAGGTCTTGAAGATGCCTACAGTGAAGTGTTTATTGTAGGCATCCTGGAGACCATGAAAATCAAATTTATTACAGGCCATTATTTTGGGTTTAGTGTAGATTATTCAAAGAATTGTTCTCGAAAATACTCGTTTTTGGTATTTTAGTGTTGATGGCTAATTACCATGCTTATGAATCGTGCGAGTGGTCAGCATTGACCAGTTGCGATAACAAACCTTTCTGATCCTTTCTATTTATATTTACTTTGTTTTGGATCTTTTTGATGTAAAAAAAGTACTATATATGTATCTTTAAATTTGATAAGCCATTTTTGTTACCACAAAGTCTCTAATTTTAGTCAGTATTGCTGTGGTCGCTGTTAAACTGTGCCATGGTCGTCACCCAATGGATAAACAATTTTTGGGAGATTTTAATAATTTTATTTATTTTATTATGGTTTTATATCCTATTGAGTGGAAATGGTGCACATGACATGCTTTCACGGTGTTTATAATGACTAGTTCAAGAGTAAACTGTCAAACCCACCAAAAAAGCAAATTGTAATTTTGAGTGAAAGGAATTGTTTAAATGTTTTGAATTTCTGAATTGTTCACAATATTTTTACATATTATCCACAGCTTGTGATAATCATTAATCATAATCCTGTTAGGGAAACTAAACGTATCACATTGTATATATTTTGGCCTATATTTACTTCCAATAATGTTCACTCATTGGCTCATCAACTAGCTTGTCTGAACAAACTTACGAAAAAGTTATTGATTCGTGTAAAAAATAAAATTTATGAACATTTAAATATTTTATAATTAACATTTGACAAAATATCACCTGGAATATTTGTTTTGACTTGAAACATTTATTTCTGCATACAAGATTATTCTAATGATTAACCAAGCTGTGTGGATTTGACAATGAACTTATCTGGGCTTATAGTTGTATTCAACAATTCAAGCATTTGTAAATCCTGCATTGTCACACAAGGGTTTAAATTTCGGTTATAAAGTTTATAGGATATTCCTTATTGGTTTCATTTTTCACAGAAAGACAATTACTGATGGCATGAATTTTGTTTTACTTGTGTGTGACTGGGTATGTCCTTTGAGTACCACGCAAAATTTACAAAAATTGCTTAAACATTAATATTTTCATTGAAAAAAAAATTTACAAAATTAAAATCTTAAAAGTGATAAGTTTTCAGTGTTCCAAAGTCCAGATAAGTCTAACACTGTGTATGGGTTTGGTAAAGTTTTTTCCAACGTTCTTTATTAGAGATTGTGTATTTGATGAAAGCTTAAAAAAAAGATTGAGTTAAGCACCAAAGAAAGCAGGCCTAAAAATTCATGTATTTTCTGTTGCAGTTGTATGTAGTATTAATAAAGCATTTGATAATTTCAATATTCTTTTTTTGTTCTGGTAATGAGAGCGTTCTCTTCTTGCCCAGTGATGCAGACCCGGGCTTCTGAGACCATGCATGGTGTGACAAATATATTCATTCACAATGTGACCATCTCATATGATCATGTCCACTCATTTTAAGAGCGTTCAATCCTTAACTGGATTTTATAAATACTCTATTTGTATAAATTTATTTGAATACACCTGCTTGTATCTGAGGTTGTTGCATACATTGTTGCTTAAAGGGGAGCAGAAGTGTGGCTTTTGACACTCTGTACATGAAATCTGAGATCTATGAATGAATTCTGTCGATAAAAATAACTTGTATGTGCTGCGAAATGCCCTAAATATCGGGTATAAAACGGGCTGTGAAGCAGACGACAAACGTCCGCTTTTCCTGGCGTCATTTCGCCTCTAGAGGGCCAGTCAAATTACGCCATCAGTGAACACTGATAATTGAACCCATTCATGTTAGTACGTCAATCCCATAGAAATGCTACTATGAAAGACCTTGTTAACTGACTACTTAAAAGTTGAAACATGGCGAGGTGTTGTGTTATGAATGCCATAACGATTCATGTTATGTTTCTCGAAATCCCAAATAAAATAATCACGTTTTTGGATGCGAGAAATCGGCGGAAGAACTAACCTGAAAGTGAAGACAGTACAGCGTTCTGGCTATAGTAAACAGCGAGTGAATAAATATTGTACGATTTAAAACTAAATGAGAAATATGCTAATATCACTTGAACCACAGTTGTATTTTCCGACCGGAAAACTACCACATTTTTATCGTTTTTTTTTTTTCCTCTCGCTCGCTTATTGAAGACACCGACCGCTCGCCCAAACACTGGTCACCGGCACAGGAGTAGTCAAAATGTTTGGGGATATACAAAGAAAATTCTGAACGGCTCTTCAAATCAAATCTATACCACTCTGTATCGTTTGCGAACAACTTCATCTGTGTCAAATACTAGAGCCGGTACAATATTGTAAACAAATGCCATGATATCTCCGTCATATCGCTATTGTATACACTACCTTTTTTATTCTAGTTTGCACAAACGTTGAATAGCCGTCAAACATTCAAATATATTTAGTTTTTAACTATCTATAATTATATGCACGCAATTTGACCCTTTGACCTAGATTTGATTGGGATGGAATATTTTAAACAATATTCTGACTTTACTTACTGCCCCAAAAATGTTTCAACACAATTGCGGTATTGACTGTCCGATTTACAAGTGCATCGGGTAATTTATTAATAACCATTCTCACCAATCGCTAGCTTAGGAGAGAGTAGGAAATCAAACAGCCGCAGGTCGCCCGCCTTTTATGCATAGATTTCATGACGCCGTCTGACAGTAGACTGTCGACAGTCCCTCTGGCCTTACGTGTGTGTGTGTGTTTTTTTATTATTAATATTAATCAAACGCCGTAGCGGTTGATTAAAAGTGGAAAGTTGGGCGAAATGATTACTGTAGTTCAAGTGATATTAGCGTATTTCCAATTTAGTTTTTAACTCAAACAATATTTATTTACTCACTGTTTACTATAGCTAGAGCGCTGTGCGTGTCTTCATTTTCAGGTTAGTTCTTCTGCCGATTTCTCGCAACCAACAATATGATTTTTTATTTGGGATTTCGAGAAACTTAACATGAATCATTATGGCATTCATAACACAACACCTCGCCATGTTTCAACTTTTAAGTAGTCAGTTAACAAGGTCTTTCATAGTAGCATTTCTATGGGATTGACATACTAGCATGAATGGGTTCAATTATCAGTGTTCACTGATGACGTTATTTGACTGGCCCTCTAGAGGCGAAATGACGCCAGGAAAAGCGGACGTTTGTCGTCTGCTTCACAGCCCGTTTTATACCCGATATTTAGGGCATTTCGCAGCACATACAAGTTGTTTTTATCGACAGAATTCATGTACAGAGTGCCAAAAGCCACACCTCTGCTCCTCTTTAATTATAACAATATTACTTGTTCAAAGTTTAGGTCTTTGTAGCAGTGCATATAACAATATTCCCTCCAAAGGCTACTCATGAGTTTTTGAAAGGTTATTGAACTAATGTATGCACACACAGCATCTCATTACAACTTAAAGAATCCTTTAGTTTGGCTGCTATAGGACTTTATCACAAATTTATGTGACTATCATGGGAAGGAGCCCGAATAAGTAGATAAGGTACAGGAGGTATCAATCTCCCACTGTCTAAGCATGGTAGAGAATTAATGCAGCATTTTGTTTGGATGTATTTGGATGATAAAATTAGGACACGTTTCAACCAGACATTTGGAATCAAAAAAAAAAAACTGAGAGAAAAGTTATCTTTACCCAGTTCTATTGGCCCTTTGTGCATGGTGACATCCAACGTAAAGCACACACTATTTGGCAGAACGACTGTTAAGCAAATAAAAAGGCGTCACTTGAAGATGTGCCTATGGTTGACACCCTTTACAGACATGTGGTAGTCAATTTGGTGGGACCGTGACTGGATCGCCTATTGCCGAGGCCCTGGTTGATGTGGATCGGCGGGTAGGTATACCAAAACAAATTCTTTCTGATATGTTAAACAGTTCACAGCTGACTTTATGGCTGAGGTGAGTAGACTTGTCCATGAAACAACTCGCTGCTACCTCCCCAGACAATTTGGTTGTACAATTTAATGGAATTCATGTGCATTGACAGACCCAAGGACTGGGGTTGATACATTGCTCCCTTGCTATTTGCCCCCAGATACCATCACTACTTCCCATGTTGTGTTAATCCAAGCCTGTGGGGAAGGTTCATGTTTGTGCTTGGCGAACTGAGTGACTATAATGAGAAATTGGGGGATTATAACGTTTTATATTAATCCGAAAGAACTCTTTATTAAACTTCAAAACTTCACTCATACATCACACATTATATGGGATATATGCACATGCATTTTTGTCATGATCCTATTAACGATAGCCGAATAGCGGGCATTTTAAGGCCGAAAATGCATCAAAATCGCACATTTCCAACATTCCGGACCCGGATCTCAGTTATGCATGGACGGATTTTGTTCAAATTTGGTACATACATTAAACATAATAGAACCTTGATGCTCGTCATTTTTTTTTCGGATTAAGTTCGAAATGGCCGACTGGCGGCCATTTTGTTTTAAAAACTTCAGTTCTGGATCCGTATCCGAGACATGTCTGGATTGATCAAGTTCAAACTTTACACACACATGGTACATCATGTCACAAAGAGATATGTGCATTTGTTTCATGACCCGCTTAACAATAGCTGAATGATGGCCATTTTAAGGCTGAAAATGCATCAAAATCACGTATTTTCACAATTCCGGAACCGGATCTCAGTCATGCATGGATGGATTTTGTTCAGATTTAGTAAAATGTGTTGTTGTACATATGCAGGTGCATTTCGGATCAGATTTCGGTCATGATCTGCTTTGAATGTATATGTCACTCAAATATGAACGGAACGGGGACGTGTCATTGACAATGACTTGTTTAATATAATTTAGTGGGAACTTAATATTATTTTGAACTTCATTACTTTACGTTGTCAACCAACATAGCTATCGTTATTATTTAATGTTTGATTTTACGTACATTGCGTGCATAATAAATGTTATATAATCTATTTAAACGATTCCTTCCATCTGTATATGAACTGATATGTTTATCATAACTATCATAACACTCAGGATTATTTGAATATTGTGATTCACCCACGAAAGTATTGAAGTTATACTGTGTGCTTGTTCATGTGGTAACCAGAATACACACACGCACGGAGGGGGTTGGGTGGCGTCTTTATATTTTTAGACCTCTTGACAATGACTCCTACAGCACTATATTGGTACGACCAGAAGAGTTGATCACATGACCAAGAGTGATATAACGGTCTTAGCCAGCGCCCTATGCACTTTTTACAAAAAAGTTAAAAATTCTTAAAAATTGTATAATGGGCAACTTGTAATGTTCGTGAACAAATTCCGAAAGGTGTGCCATATTCAGTAGCCATGACTGTGAAATCTTTTTCATCTCTCCAAGAATCGGAGCGATGGCACTCTGGATCAAGAGTAAAATCGACATTATGGTTATTTTAACGTCATTACTAAATACGAAGCTCTAAATAAAACTCGTAATCATAATCATTGTTTGTTTGTCCCCCCAACTTGATAAATGACAAAAACGTGGTCACACGATGGCAAACGCTAAAGCTAAAGATGGCAAACGCTTGAAAATACTTATATTTGCACTCTGTTGCAATACACGAGGGGCGTCTTTACATATTCTTTACCAGTTAGTTCAAAGCGTAATTATGATTACCAATCACGATTGCGATTGTGCGTAATTGAACGCGGAATAACACTCGTCATGATAAATTGGTCATGATTGGACAAACGGTATATCTTTAGTCTTAGTCTAGTCACAGCGTCACAAACAACCCAGATCCACCTGTAGCTTAGACTAGATGCCGTATATCATCGTGACTGAAAAATCTATAACATTGAGTCGAAGCATTTAATCAAGGCTGATTTTGATACATCGAAAGAAAAATATGTCAAAACAAAAAAGCTGCTGTCTGATTGGTCCGACCGCCTGGTATGACAAGCACCTGCATCTGATTTTATAATTTGTAGCTGTGATCCAAATTCCTCAGCTCCTGAGAGCGAGGTTATTTGTAGTATGTTGGCGATCGCCGCTGTGTCTGCGGAAGTACTATGGGAGATTGCATGATGGGAGTGAAAAGTCTTTTGATCAATAAAATAATTTTAGAAAAGTGAAAACTAAAGTGACTGTTAAATAAAGATTGGTTTTAAATATTAAATATTATGACATTTGGATGTAATAATGAAAGGAAATTGAACTGGTATGAAAAGGCAGTACATGTAGCCAGAACGCTTGGTCAGAATCCGGGGTCAAAATACGTCACAATACATCCATCAACTTGAAGGCCGTTGCAAAGTGTCAACAACTATGGATGAG